TTTTAGCTTTTGGGTTGCTGGAAGCTAGACATTTCTTTGTCCCTCCCAAAAGACTTACCAAATAGTCACGGGAACCAGATGTGACCCAGAGGTGAGCAATGAATGGCTATTTAGGAAAAGAAAGATAGCTCAAGATAATTCGGCTCTAGACTTGTAACATTCCAACTCTTCACAATCAATGTTCTAATTAGTCAGTCAGCTTGGTAAAAAGTTTAATGCAGGAACAGCTTTTCTTTTTCTCTGGGAACTTCAGTTAGTATTATTTCAGGAGGAGTCTGAAGAGAAGGCTCGGTCTGCATTTAAATCTGTGTCTGAAAGGGGCCCACCTGGAGGAGGAGGGTCCTCCTCACAGAGCTGGAATTACCCAAGAGAATATAAGTGGAGATTGGCAGTCTATCTGACTTCAACTGTGGGAAACTGTTGCACACCAAAATCAAGAGACTTCTACAACTGGCAAAGGCTGAGAGTTCCTGAAATAAAGGACCTCTGACAGGCCTTGGAGGAAGATCTGGGCGTGGGAGGGCAACAAACCAGAAAGGATGCTGCATGCACAGTAAGAAAAGTACAAAGAAGGCAGCATCCGTTGCACACAGCATCCAACTCCCTCCCTAAAGGGGGCTGTGCTCTCAGCAACACAGAAGTCCAGCAGGGCTTCCACACCTGGCTGCTGCCAACAGAAGACACAGGCAGAGAAACCCCAGAGCAAAACACAGAGGAGAACAGTCACAGCCGAAGGCTGTTTTAAAGCAGGAGATGCAGGGAATGCAAGATGTGTGACCTCGGGATTCACAGACTTGCAGCGATCCAGAAGCTTGCTAGGACAAGACAACACAACCATGAAAAGCAGAGAAGAAAGTTGTACTCCATATCGCCACATTAGAAAAGGGGACAGGGAGACACGGGGACTCCCCCCTCACACCCGCTCCCCAAGTCCATCTTCAGGGTCCTGACAAGAGGTTTGGGTTTAAACAGAGGACAAGAGGCTGTGTGGCCAAGCAGTCCTGGCCAAGGAGTGGTCCCGCCTCACCAGCCCTTCATTGTCTTGGCTCCTGTCTCTCCTGCTAGTTAAACAGGAGTCAGAACTTCATGAAATCCCTGCTGATGGCAAAGCCCTCCTCAGGCTGACTCTGGGTTCAGGCCTTTCCTTCTCCCAGCAGGAGATTATGGGGAAATCCCTATTCCTTGGAGACTATGGTCTCAAAAGTCTACAGCCAACTGGAGGGGCACAAGTGTCTCTCCTTAAACTATTTCACAAGAGGACAAATGGGGGAAAACATGAAGGTGTGTGTGTGTGTGTGTGTGTGTGTGTGTGTGTGTGTG